GTCATTATGTTATCAATCATTTTGTCAGGGATCCCGCAGGATATGGAATCAGGAAGAGTTCTGGGCGTCCTCCTTTGCTGTCTGAACGAGATAAATAAACGTCGTATCCTGAAAGAAGCGTCCAACTCCACGATGTCACTCCAATTCCAACTTCACTCGCATCAACGGGACGTTTGAAGCTGTGCTTCGTATCGAAGAAAATGAACTCTTCCGACTACGTAGAGGTAATGCGACGAGGTCTGTTACCTTTCTGGCGAAGGATACGGCATGAAAGTCCTGTATTCGTGCAAGACAATGCACCAATCCATGTCAGCCGGAGCACTCGAGCGTGGTTCAGCCGTCATCAGATCACTCTTTTGCCCTGGCCAGCGAATAGCCCAGACCTAAACCCTATCGAGAATGTTTGGGGCTTCATGGTACGCAGGATATACGCGCACAATGCGCGATTCGAAAATGTCCGTTCGCTCAAGGAGGCTATCATTGATGCATGGCACCATGTCGACAAAACACTTATAGACCACCTCTATTCGAGCATGGACAACCGCATTTTCGAACTTATTCGAAAGAATGGGGCTGCAATAGATTATTGAAATGACGATTTATTAAATTTGTTGTACACTTGTTGTTTTCTGAATCGATTCGTTTAGTGGAAGTATACTTGTGGGACATTGTCAGAGTGAGAAATTTTCAAAAAATAAAGAAAGTTGAAGTTGCTCTGGAAAGTCAGTTCTCGGAGTTGGCATGCAAATTGGTACTGGTAATTACCACATTTTATACCTAGAGGCTTTTTTTGAAAACGTCGTGTAGGGAGGGATATTGTGAGATTTATGGGTGGAAGTATACTTTTGGGACGCAGTGTAGTTGCCATTTACTAATACAGGAGGATCGACGAGTGAACCAACTTTCAACCCCTTAAACTCTGGTTCAAGAGCTAGAACGGCAGTGATAAACTCTCTGCAGTGAGGAGGCTTTGTGTGATTCCTTGTCAATCCAGAAAGTGAGCATAGTTTTAGAAACGCAAAAGTTGCTAGACAACTCTATCTTTTATTTTCATGTCGCTATTCTCTAAAGACTTCAGTTCTGGGATAGTCGAGCCTGTGAGAGGATAAATGGATAAAGTCTTCGCCGTTGACCAATCCGGGATTTGGAATGCGGCACGCATTCTACTTCCATTCAGAATCGTAGGGGCTTATTGAACATAAAGATTTCTGGGGGTCAGCCGATGTAAAAGTCTGTGATGTAAAAGGTTGGTAGCGATTTACCGTCCGCAAAGGGCAGGACTGGTTGGCTTGGACGTGACCGAATGGAGTTTGACCACCCCTCCCCCCACCACCGTGTTCGTGGTAAGCGTACCTCTTGCCACTATATCATTTCCGCTTCAGAGAAACCTTTACAGAAAACAAGACAACATACCGATGCCACTGACTGCGATAGTGGGCGATTATGGCATCCCTATCATCCGCTTCCATGGACCAGTCGCAACACGTACACTTGTATCCCTCACCTGAACAAATTTGCTCTGACAAATAATAACTTGAAGATTCGCGGTGAGTAAGAAAAACAATTAAAATCTGGTATGCCTACCGAGTCCTTCGAAAGGATCAAATTCGTTGTAAGCTTCCGCGCTCTCACTATCCAATGCAGTCGTTTCTTCATCACGAGCAACTTTTGTTGAAAACTCTTCTACAACTCCTGTTTGCCATCGCACATCGTGCAGTGAAATAGACACCTGATGCCGAAATTACGGATTTATTACATATTCATTTCTGTCGCTTTACAGACGACTATATTATAGTGGGTGACTACTTGTGTGTCTCATTAAACCAGCGCAAGTGAAAAGTACCGCTCCCTAGATTCAATAAACTACCGGTTCCGTTGACGAACAACAAACGAGGAACGACGACGAGCACGAAACTAGAAATCAATATCTACAACGCAAAATTGAAAACGGCTCGACACAATGTTGAATAGCACGCCGCACAACCTAGCAATGTACATAGTATAAATAAAAGTAACGGCAAATATATGTATACGGAAAATATAATGCACTTGAAAAGCATCATTAATCTAAACAAAATGAGTGATTTCTTATAGGAGAAAGTAGGAAAAAATTAATCTATAATATTGAAAATAAAGAACATAATCAAAATGTCCTAGAATCTAAGGAAAATCACAACGATAACAAGCAAAATTACATAGGTAGAAGAAGACACTCGCACCATTTGATCTGTTCGAGCGCCTTGAGGGTCTCGTTCGGCGCCAGTACCATCAAGGAAGAAGATATAGATATAGAGTTCAAGTGAAAACAGTAGGTTCTATGGAAAAAAGTTTTGTTCATTTTTAAACCTCCCAGACAATCTGCAGCACCTGAACAGACGAAGAATAAGTGAAAGACCGATTGAATTGCGCATATGATAAATACAGTTAGATGGAAGTGGGGTCTCTTCATGCATTCCCTGAGATCGCTTGTCTTTGTGGGCAGTTTCCAACAGCATTTCGTCCCTGTCATGGAAATCACCAGTGCTAGTGGGCACTTCGTGGACGTGACGGATAATGCGTTGCAGCACCCGCAATAACTTCGAGCCATGCATTCAGATCTTCGGTACTTGATGCACAGATTCGATACACAGTATGCCGACCTTCAACCATTTTACCCGTCTGCTCCGTTTTGCATGCTTTGATCCGACCATCTTCAGATAATGAGAATATCTAAATATGTTCAATTTTGATAGCTCACTAAGAAATAAGATCTGAAACCTCCCAGTTCTGACCGCAAACACAGCCTTCGTATATTTTAGCCACCATAGCTTCAAAATGATGGTTGTTTTTAATTTAGCGAGATTTTATATTCATTGTTGATTCAATCCGTTTTAACTGACGGTTTTTACGTTTTTACTCTCACTCCCACTCCCAACTTTCACGTGTCGAATTCCTATATTACAGTAACTTAAACCAAGTCAAAAAGCTCAATTTTACAAGTTTGGTCATCAATCCAATAGGCAGCCACCCCGCTCCAGGATAAGGGAGAAGGTATAAATGAGAGGAAAAAAATCTCCCACATCACCAAGGCGCACCCCGTACCCGTTTATGTGGCCCAATTACTTCATCGTTTCAAAAGTATTCATACAAATTACAGCAGGAATTGTAGAAACTTACTGGACGTAATTGTGAAAGTCCTCATACTCTCGGCATCTCGGAAAATAAAGCAAACAGCAAAAGTCGTGAGCTTGCTTCTAAGGCCAGTGAGTGGGGCACAACGTACACCCAGCTGCGAGGTGCGTCTCCGGGGCTAACGAGCCCCAGCTGTCGAAGACTTGGCAAAGCGCGCGACACTCGCCGTGCGGACGGCGGTCAGTGCAAAAGGAATGGGGATATTATAGCGAAGTTCAGCATGTCTGCGCCGCAAGTTGCATTTTAGGCGGAGCATGGAGGAATTAGCCTATTTCACGGTCCTGGATCTCCATCCCCGCGCATGTTTGGACGGGGAAACCGTTGCTTCGACGCTGGGGGCTCGTTGGCCCTGGAGACGTACCTCGCAGCTGAGCGTACGTTTGCCTTTGAAGACAACCGGCACTCTCAACTCCGTGGATTCTGGTTCTTACTATGTGCGAGGTAAATAGGTCCGCAGTTGCACAGGGTCAACTGACAGTTCAGCGGGGCTGGAGGGTAGTGTACCTCTCCAAACTGCGCCCACGCTAACTCACGGCTAGTCACACTTCCGACCATAACCAAATGCGTTACTTGTCAGCTCTCTTACTTCTGAAAGTTCTCTGAGCGCGTATTCGCTGCGCGACTTTGGCACCGATGAAAGTGGGGCGCTCAGGGGATAACGCCCGCGGACTCCATAGCAGCACCCGGGGATCACCAAGCCTCTTTATTTCCGCGCGCTCTGAAGCCACGAAGAGTTACAACTGGACACCTGTCAACTCACTCACTTTCAAACATGCTGAGGAACGTCCTCGGAAGTGAGTATACAATTCGTCTTAATGGTTTTAGAAGTCGAAATACTGTCATGCATAACATAAAGTATGTTCTTGAGGAATAACTGCGGACCAAACGACGGCAGGTACTAGGTTGGAAAAAAAAGTCCTGTAACACTCGAACAAACTGTTCTAATAAAAAAAGACATTCTGAATATTTTTACCCATGATTAGTGTAGAATGTTCTCTGAAGTATCATTTCGAACTTTAAGTCCCTCAAACGTCAAGTTATCTTCTGAATCCTACATTATAGGCTGCTGCAGCGCCACTTTGTCGTAATCGAGGGAACTAACATAGAAAGTCTTCAGGAAAGATGTCATTTGCCATGCTAACTAACCTGTTGGTATCAGCGCTTGGAAGCTGAAGCTATTTTATTTGAAGTAGGCAATGTATAGGTCAGCTATCAGCACAATGACCGTTTATTCAATCCAGTGGAAGCGCAGTCGAGCGTAATCACCAGTATGTATGTAGTGATATCGCTTGACACCGGCACAGCTGTGACGTCCATAGCCTATCCTAGTCAACTTCAGAAATGGGTGACGTCACGTTTGATTTCATTCAAAAACACTCAATTCTTTTCTACTCCTCGGCGATGGGAATACATGCGATATGTGGCGATGAAGCTACACTGAAAGATTATGAATTTCGACCAGGGATTCCACTGTACCCAGCTCAATCAGTGAATCTAGCAGCTCCTCATTACCACCTACATTGGTCCCGAATGGTTCCTTTAAAAAGGCGAAAATTTTGAAGACCAGCGTCCACTCATAAATGAGGCAGGCCTCCTCTTCTCATGGCAGCTGCCGTGGTTCGAACGAGTGAAATCGGGAAGCTGTGCGAAAGGTGGGCGCTGATCTTACTTTTAAAGGTGATTACTTTGTAGATTGGAGATGTTGTTTAGTGAAGGGATGAAGAGGATTTAGATAGCAAGTTTTGTCAAAGTGTTGCAGGACTTTTTTTCAATCTAGTAATAAGTTCTAAATAAAGAAGCAAATACCAGATATAGCCAAAACTCACCTCAAACATGAATGGGCGAGAAGCTGACTCTACTCGTCGTACACCCACGTTTTGTAAAGGAATAATACCACGAGGTTCCTTGTCTGTGGTTTGATCAAAATAATACAGGCACGAATCACTGAGGACGAACCTGACAAAAAACCGTGTTGTGCAAGTAGAAATGAACGAATGCTAGTAATTTTTCATCAGAAAAATGAAAAAGAAAGAGAAGAGAAGGGGAAAAAAAGAAAAAAAAAGGAAAAAATCTGGTTACATACACTTGAGCAAGTCAACACTGTAAATTCCGCCATTTCTGATAGCTTTTTTTGAATAGGTCTTATGGTATTCCTTTAAGAAGAAAACAAATAAGATATCAAAGATATCAAACACAAACCATCTCCGCTTCCACGATAACGGTCCAGATATAAATTGACTGCTACTCTGCTTACACAACCAGCCTTCCGATCAGGATGCAGAAATATGTTATCGAGACGCGCCGCATCGTCACATGGGTTATTTGAAACTCTCGAGATCGAATTGAGTCAAATATCTGCGCCAGAGTTGCTGTGCTGACTGACCCAGCTTCCAACAGCTCCTGAAAGCCGGCAACGCTATTACAGCCTTCAAGAAAAATTAATCTACCTTGTCTTGAAAGAACAAAACGATTCAATTCTGTGAGGCTGCAGATGGTTTTCTCAGAACAGTGAAAAACCCTATCTACGTAAATAATTTGGAAGCTAGAAAACCCAATTTGCGACGAGTTACAAATCACCCCCTCTATATAACTTGTTACGTCCGTCTTTTTCTCTGTCCGGAAATTCGGTTCTACCCGAAGAACAGCTAAGGTTGGGATGGGTGGGTGTGAGAACAGATGGAAAGAGCACAAGTAACCCATGGTATTCCCCGCCCACAGCGAGCAGAACATGCACCGGGTGCCACTGAAAAAAATTTGCAATTCGGTTTCATAGCAGCCCAGAGATGGTGAAAAGTGGACTAAGCTTAGAAACGGTTGACAGACTTAATGGAGGGGACACAACTGAAGTGGGCGCGGCGTACTGGGATGGTGCCACGCAAAATTCAGCAGCTTGGCGAGAGCTTAAGAGATCGTAAAAAAAGTCCACGAAGAAATGAACTTCTGGCGAGAACCTAGCATATCTGCGGTGGGTTGAGACCCACTGACAGTGGGTGGGGCGTGTCCTTAAGCATAAGGTACTCACTTCAAAAAAAATTGTGGTCTGGTTCCAGAGCACTATATACACCGGGAATAAATGGATTAGGGTGAGCGAGTGTTCACTGGATGATAGTGCACCCGTTGCGAGCGGAGTGAGACAAGATGGTCAATGAGTGCTGACTATGTGTACAGATAAAAGAAAGCGTACTACTGTGCGCAGTATTCGAACGTACGAAAGAATATAGGTCGGGCGAAGCTGGGCCATATCACGGAAGGAAGCCGGCGAGCCGACTGGTCATTTATAGCGATCGATAAGAAAGGACTTACATCTAGAAAAAAAAAGGTGAGTGATTACTAACAACCTCAATCGAAGAAACTGAAGAACTAAGAATCCGTAACTACGAGTACCTACCGTGTAACTACTTGTACTTATTGTTAGCTAAAACAAACGAATTTGAGTCAAAAAATCATTTCATACCTTGTTCATGCTTTGGTATCGTTCCAGGGTCGGTCGATCCTTCACATTTGGATTGTGTAACAAAGTGTTGAGCATAATACATGAATATGCAATCGTGAAACATGTGTCCGCACTATCGAATACACCTTAAAGAATTCTTAAGACGACTATGATCACATTAAAGTGAGCCTAGAACATGTTTGATATCAAAAACCTGCTTCAGAAAAAAAAAAAAAAAAAAAAAAAAAAAAGAAATACAAAAAAACCAGATTATATAAAAAAAAGAATTTTTGATGATGTTACAGGAGTTGATTGTTTTAGAAACGGCAGCAGGGTAACAAAGACACACAACAGCTGTGGAGGTTTTGAGCTATTTGGCCTGTACTATGACTTCCGGATTCGAACTGACGTTCAAACCAACGTTTCTACCCTCAACGAGTCCTTTATCAATTTATCAGCACCGTAGGGATGATGGATGGCTTGGTGGTCTGTGCGGGAGCCATCAGGATTTCAGCTTGTCGCTAGTAGGTTTCCACTTACGAGTTACAACGATCTGCCCAAAAATAAATGACGATGAGCTAATATAATGACTGGAATCATCTGACTGTACTGCTTTGCTTCCACTTCCTTCCAGAACACGGGACTCGAATATCGGAGAGCTCTGAGACAGCAATGGGTCGCAATGGTCGCTGGACGAGGTGGTCGCATTCGGGCTAGGAACTCGGTCACTATTCGCTCTCTTGTACCACCCACGTAATTTGCCCTCTTCTCCATTGATCGGCGGCTCCACAATGCAATTGGTTTCCTTCGATTACCTCTGACAGTAATCGAAGAAAACCACCCGCTCGACGGATATTGATCGAAGCCCAGTTTGGGGAAAATACGACGACAATGGGGCGGCGCCACATGCCACAACGATGCCTGCTTCAGAATCACTGTGGCATTCGAATGTGTTTTGGCCAAGGAACTGGCGTAAACCAAGCAAGATTCTGTTTTTGTGCTTTCAAAATGAACTGAAGAAGAGGAGTGAGGTCATTATTCCTTCAAACGAGAGGGTGGAATGGATCGGAACAGAGCTACAGCAGCATTTTCCACCAGCTGTTGAAGGACTCTGGATGGCACCGCTGATCGAGAAGGTGACCTGGCTGCTCCACAAGCCTCGTCCACTACACATGCCCCCTGTCTGCAAGGGCTGTACGTTTTACACCTTCAGAATGGTCTCGGGCCGATAAACATCTGCGGTGTCCATGGAAACAACGGTGCTGTCCGGTTCGGAGAAACATTTCGCTCTTTCACTAGTTCGCTTTTGCTAGTTCCCTCAACTAAGTAGTCTCACTCCAGCGGGACCTGTAAACTTTTGTGAAACATGGCACGAGTGAGCTACACTTTGGTTCCCCTACCAATCCGAACAGCTGCGTCGAAACGACAATGGTTCAATTCATCAGCAAGCTCCATGTTCACGACCTGAAAGACAATACGAAGTAGTATTCAGGAAAGGTGCATTAGTGAGTTTCTTAGCTGGTGTGATTACTAGCAGCTCACAACCTCCTCCAAATCTGGCCTTGTAAGTGCTGCTCCAAATATACCTTGAGAGTAATGCAATGGATTGTGAAGTGCAGATTGTACAGCCATCACTCCTGTAGCTATAATCTGTTGCACTGCCCAGCTGATAGCTATTTACGTAAGCCTAGTCATTGTCAGAACTACGCGAGGCACAAGTGTAGAATGCAATATCCTCTACAGTTTTGATGCAAAGAGGCAAGCAGATTGAGAAATGATACATGGTGAGGAGATGACTGGTAGAATGTTGTGTAAAAATGGGGAAAAAGCGGAGGAGATGTGCATAAGGATTACCTACTGGAAATAACATGGAAGCAACCAACAGGACAATGAAACAGTGAAGAGAAGTAGGGTAGGGGCGGTGTGTTGGCAAGTTTACGCAACTCATGAGGACCCCATCGAATGTCGTTTATAATTCTGCAGTGGAATGGCCGTTGTCGAGCTTGATCCAAAGTTCCGCGGTGCACCAGATAGGGCAACTTCAGGGAGGTTTCTCGTCCATTTTGAAATAATCAAACCCCAAAGTTCCTATGCTTTCTGCATTGAGTTTTTGCCCTCCTTGCGCATTAGTTTCGATATAGGGGAATCCAGGCAGAACCGGCATCCCAGGTAGGAAAAAGACTGCCTACATCAGTGCGTTGATTGGTATCGGAACCGCTCAGAAGGATAAATCTGGCGGAAAATAACTTACACTTCAGTTAAACCAAATGTTTAGCGGACTGTTCGAATCGCATTCAAAAGGCTATGATGAAAGGAAAATGATAGACAAGCAAATCCACAAAGGAATTATATTCGAACTGTTGATGATACCACTATCCTTTTCGAATAACCCATAGATAACCAACAAAATATAGAAAAATTGAACTGTAACGGAAAGTATCACAATAGGTGTAAAAAGGACCTCACCTTCATTAGTAGCAACGTACTGTTGAGCAAATTTTTCCATAATCCGATCAATCTTCTGCGATTCGCCAGGTAGACGAAAAGACCACAGGAATGCTCTGGAAAGAAAAACCAGTCAACATATAGTGGACCCTCAGGAAAGGAGGTTTGGTGACTTTACGGCCAGCGCTAGCGTTTTTCGGCCGGACGATCAAATGGATATGAAAAAGCATGCTCTGATGAGCAAGCGGGGTCGGATGGATGATATCTCATAAATAACACAACAGGAAAACAAGTCATGAGAAAACGCTCAAATTCGAATATATAAATAATAGTGATGAAGTATAAAAACTTGGCATAAATCAAAAGTAGCTTCCAAAAAGTTCGAATTGCAATTACGCCCTGAAACTAACCTGAGAGCATCAACTATGAACATATTCTGAAAGGTATGACACAGTACAAATTGATCAAGTACTTCAAGGTAGAACGGCTCGTGCAGTCCGAGCAGTTCACCGATGGCCGTTTTTGAGAGCCCTTCACCCTGAATGTTTTCGACATGAGCATTTCTCATACAGGCAAATGACTAAATGACCAGAATTGTTCACCTTGAACAACCACTGAGCTATAGCACTCGGTTGACGACTTAATAAGCCACGGTCAGTGAGATATTCAATACCCCGCACCGGATCTTGATTGAACTTTTTCTTTCCCGTGAATATTAGCTTATGCCGTGATCGCGACCCTTCATCTACATAGTATAATGACTCAAGTTCGGCATCGACGTCTCGGAGCTAAAAAATCCAAAATAAAATTATCCAAGCCTTCATGAGTAGTAATCAAATTATTTAAAAGCAAATAAGGATATAAGGATAGGATCATAAAAACATGCACATTAAATTAGGTGGTATAAAAAGTCTCCGCGGTTATTTTTGCACATACCTGGACAAACATTTTTTATTGCCAATCAAAATACATATTGACCATAATACTTTGACTTTTTGCCATTTATCTGGTAATTTCATGGTTCCATAGAGCCCCTGCGGCTTATTGGTGAAAAACTTGGCCAAGTAATTTTCAGAGGCATTTCTGTCGGCCCATTTCTTAGCGGCGCGAGAAACTCGCAGGGATCGAAACAGATACTAGTCTGACGGTGCGTGATCGAATTGATAATCTCGCCAGGTTGCAACAGCTCACAACAGACAATTCCCTTCCAACTCCACACCCACGCTTCCCCCCCCCCCCCGGACACTGACCGGCCAGAGCGATGTTCATCCTCAACATCCTTTCGGAACCGATTTCAGCAAAGCATTTCTAGGTCTTTCGTTCACTACAGCAAATTTAGTCTACCACTTCAGAGACTTTGGTGATGTTTCTTACAGCATTCGCGCCCTTTATTTTTGACGGTAACAAAGCACCGAATATCGCATTTCTTCAGACATTTCATTCATATTCGAATTAATATACTTTTCTAATGAGCAGCGAATAAGAGAACTATCTCGGCGGAAATGTGAGCTGGAATGCTTCATTTTAAACAGCATATGCTTATTCCAGACAATCGGTGGGTGTAGCTCGAGATAGGATATCAGAACCGGCTTGTGGCGAAAAACCGCGGTAGCTTCTTATGCGACCCAATATTGCGCTGAATGTTCGGGAAGCATTCTCTGAGCTTATTCTACTCAGAACTCAGCATGTTCCCTTGTTCTGCCGTGTAGCTCTGTTTCAAGCCTACCACATTACCCTAATTCTTAATATGATCTATTAGAGTGATTATAGTTGTTTGCGCCGTAGCGTGGGTAAAAAACGAAAACTGTTACAAACTAGATTACAATAAAAATGAAGTTACAATGAACCTCAGAGCGCTGTCGCTTTGTCGCCATAAGTGAGCAGAAAAAAAAAGAATCGCCTAGTTCAGTGAGCGTAAAAATGATGTCACCGACGTACCAATGTCCCCACGTAATTGCATTTGAACGCTGCTAATAGTAGAAAAACACGCTCCCGGCACCCAGAAATTTAGTTCAGATGCAAAAATAACGGAAATTTCAGAACTCAGAAAACGACCACGAAAATGCTCATATAGGGGACTAGTGGAGGCTCAATCAACTCCAGAACGGACGCATCCAGAAAATTTGGGCTAAAAAAGCAACGTAGTTGCTACCAGCATAGCACCAAAAAGTTGGTACGAAATTCAGAAACGATATGAAGCGGAGGGACAAGTGAAGAGCACGCCGACTTCTCCCTCTTTCAGACCAAACCTTTTCAGAAATTCATTTTCGTTTTACTCTTGGAGATGCAGTACATGGCTTAAAAAATGGTGAGCGGAGGTTTTGTTCGGTCGCGCTTCTCTGCAGACTGTGTCCTACCTGAACTACCTCCGCTAAGCTTCCAGTAACTATGAACTTCAACCCCTCTCTGCCGCATGAGCCTATACCGAAGCAGCTTAATTTCACAGTAATCTTTCCCGAGATGTTTTCCAAATCTACCCCAATCTAACCAACTTCAAACTGACTAGGGAAGGTCGACAGGTCTAAGTGGCCATTTGTGATGAGATGTAGATCGCTAGACGTTTTGGACGCTGATCTTGAATCTGCCTTCAAAATTTGCAAAGCGATTCTCTGAACGGAGTTATGGAGCCGCGTTTACCACGCAACAGGTCATGGGATCGGATCCCTGCTGAGCTTAACTTTTTTGCTTGTTGCGCAAACGTGGCAAAAAGTGATTTTGCCGTCACTACTACTTCAGTTCTCACCTGAGCTTGTCTGAAGAAAAGTTTGCCTCCATTTATTACTGCGCTTGGACTCCTTGTAGAAGCACTGTAAGTCATGTAATCTACATTGGAGGTCCAGCGCAGTACTAAATTAGGCAAACTTTTCTTCAGACAAGCTCAGGTGAGAACTGAAGTAGTAGTGACGGCAAAATCACTTTTTGCCACGTTTGCGCAACAAGCAAAAAAGTTAAGCTCAGCAGGGATCCGATCCCATGACCTGTTGCGTGGTAAACGCGGCTCCATAACTCCGTTCAGAGAATCGCTTTGCAAATTTTGAAGGCAGATTCAAGATCAGCGTCCAAAACCACGTCTAGTGATCTACATCTCATCACAAATGGCCACTTCGACCTGACGACCTTCCCTAGGGAGTATATGTTCTCCTTGAGACTGCTGTTCAGAAAGACATGTTTTTCGTATACGAACTGACTCATCAGAGCGCGCAACGATATTGGTCTAAAATATCATCAAACAGTTCCTATAAACAACATTAAGGCTCAGTCATATGCAACAAAGGGCTATCCTGTTATGCCTTGATTCATATGTGAAGGTGACAATAATTCGAAACAAAAACGAAAATCGAGTTCGAACAAAGGCAGGAGAGACAGACAATAGGCGCCTCTTTCATATTATCGCTGCTACCCTAAAACTCTATACTTCATACGCTTACGTCGGTTGTGTTGTGAATCCCAAGCTTTACTGCAAACGAGGAAATATCTGGGTAGCGAACACGATGCTTCATTACTAGAGTTTCTTTCAATCCTCGACCACATTCGTTTACATGATGACACTTTTCAGAAGCTTACGCCAAAGCGCATGATTATTATTTAATCTTATTTCTTGACCGCGAACAACAACTTTACTATACTAGCGACTGAGTCGAAAAATTGTGGGAGCTCTTCGGAAAAGATTCCTTGAATTGACCGTACTTGTCCAAAGCTGCACCCTCTTTTCTGCGACATCGTCGCTTAGATGTCGAGCTTTTCAGAAGCTTTTGTCGAGCTCTTTTTCACACTTCCACTCTACATCAACCCATGGCTCTTTGTTGCTTCCGATTCAGGTGACAAGAGGGTTGTGAGGCGCGGTGAGCATCAGCTGCAAGACCCAGAAATTATGCAGCCAACAAAAGTCGAAACGCATTAGAATTCGAAAGAGACGAAGCCTGTAATAAGAACGCAAAGCAGAACGACACTGCTAGAAACTAATGAAAAATGAGAGGAACTTTGCGGCTATAGCATGAGAGCGATATATCCTCAAAATTCTCTTGAGTTCGTTGGTGTTACGATTACACGGCCTTGAGAAAAAAATCTATGCTTTCCCACATTAAGGAACTAATTCGAAAGGATAAAAGCAGACAATTTTAAAGTCACATATATAGAAGGCAAAAAGTAACTGTAGTAAAAAAGAAAAGAATCAGAGGAGCGTACCTCATTCTTGATGTGGTCGATCTCACTCATGAGCTCCATTTTGCGCTTTCGCAATATCCGTAACTGACTCATCTCCTCCTCGGTGAGGTCCGCGGGATTGAAAGCGCCCGCCATGATGTTTCTATCACCTCATGCAACTTCGTTAAATACCTGATCAACGTAAGACAATAATAAACAACATCTTCACAATAATAGAGCAATGCCGAGGAAGGAACACTGAAGCCAAAGTGGACGGAATAATGTCGGAACAATTCTGAATGCTGCGCACGTTATATCTTACTGCTCTATGCATTTCAATCTTTTTATATGAGCAACATCCAAAAAACCCCTCTCATTGAAAGACGCAGCAACAGTTAATGAATACGGAATGGCCCAAAGTATAGGCCCACAGTCAGATACGCTACGTTTTCAGAAACATCACGTTAGCATTATAGGCCCACAGTCAGATACGCTACGTTTTTAAAAACATCACGTTAGCATATGTTTATACTTCGCACTAATCGCGCGAAGCTCGCGGCGGGCTCAGAAAGCTAGATCGATACTCGTAGTCTTTACCGCTCAAGACACTTAAAGCGCCGACGAAAAGTATGAACGCAGCTTCAGGCTAGAGAGCAGACGACCAGAGGGGACAGTCCCGCAGGGAAGACATAGTCCCCACTGAAAAGAAATTAAGGCTTCATCAGGAGAGTGATTACAGTGGCACCGACGAGTGGTACCCCCTCCCCATGATGAAAAGGAAAGCATATGTATCGATCGGAGAAAAAGAGAATCGACGAGTTGGAGAACAAGAGGTCGATTGATAAGGGTGTAATTTTCTTCGCACATTCCAGAACTCGCTGATACTCCAAATTTCCGGATTTCGATGCGCATATTCTCCTTCCCACGGAATCTCCCAATCCCACGATTCTTCACTTCCCTTATGTGACAAAGGTATGAACGCAGCCTGAGTGGCGTCCACCATCTTGAAAGAGAAAAAAAAATCAATGGAAGTAAGTAGATTGCCGTTCCCTTGACACTGCAGGTCACGAAGACATTACGACTATAACATTAACGTTAGCGTATAGAACTGCGAACATATGTTGGACGAAGCAGGTATGGTAACTTGTATAGAAGCAGCAAAACCTATTAGTACAATACTCCTATTATATAATGAGCTTACTACCCCCAAAAGCTGAATTCGAAGACAGCCACTGTAACCATAACAAAAAATGGAAAGAAAAGTCATGTGAAAACAAGAACGCTCTAGCCAGCACTTCGAAATATATTCATGCCTGTGCCATTCTCATTGGTGTTCACAACCGACACCTTCAAAGGAAAACATTTATCCATAAAAAAGGAATGAGAAAAAACTCCTCCAGTTGCGAGAGCAACTCGTTCATCACAACAATCAGCTCACAAATGAACAATGCTGACGCGACTCATGCGACCACGCGCTCTGCGTCAATCCGACCCGACTGACGTGTATTTGGTGACGAGCGGCTGCATGCAACAGTTTCTTTTCTTCTAGGAGGTAAAAGCTCGCTATTCTGGCTGATTCGAGAAGTGTACGGTTTTGTACTGATAGATGATTTGGAGCTGTATTATATGAATGCAACTTGGCTATAATATGACCCTGTAGCGCATCATTCCACTTCATAGCGACTGGTTCAATGAGACACTTTTCATTCCTTTTTTCTCTTTTGAATGTTGTTGTACTCACCTTCCTTCTCCTATTGAACATCTCTTCTTCCTGCATTAACTGTGACTGCAAACAGGACTAAAGTAACAAAAGTATCGTCGTGTAAGGCTCCAACCTGGTCGGGAGGGACTAAAAATCATGCAATACAGTTGGAGCGATACAAAACAAGATCATTTACGGACACGAGGTATAATGGATCTGAAACCCCGTCCCTGCCTTATTTGTACTTATTGCGCAATTCTTGCAATTTGTTGCGCAAGGGTGACCAGTGACGTAGTGTTGCACAACGCCTGCATTGCCCTTCAACCCAGATATTGAGAAATGGTTCACATGCGGTCTTATGAACGTTACAGACCACTTCCAGGGAGGCCTCAGCTCAGGTCAGATTATACAAGGTTTTTCGGTTCAGAAGTGGAAAAACGCTCTAGGCTAAGCGCTTTTAGTGCTAACGCTTCCCTCAGAAACATTAAAAGGTACAATTTCCTGTGTGCTGCACATAAACGATAAAAGGATAAAGTCTTCCCGTTGATCAATCCCTTTGTGGGATGCGGCACGCATTCCACTTCCATTCAGATCGTAGTGGACTTATTGAATGCGATGTGGCCTATACAATGACTTGCGGTGGCCAGCCGATGTACAAGTCATTGTTTTATCGTCCCAGACGAATCTGGTACCAATTTACCGTCCCCGGAGGATATAAGGCTTGATTGGCCTGGGCGGGAGTCGACCCGGGATTTGAACCCGGCCCGCGCGAGTGGTAAGCGCGCCACTTGTCACTACACCACCTCCGCCTCTTCAAATGCTGCACATATTCAAATTTTTTTGGAGCGAGCCCTAAGCTTCTTCTTGGGAATTACTCTATTTATGAATATGATTTACGTTACGCATTAGGCTACTGAAATGCCTTCAAGGTAAGCGAAGGGCCACAACTGGAAACTTTGGAAATAACAGTATATGTCAGTGGAACCCTTTGGCAATTGTAATCAGAGAAGAAAAAACGTTTATGTATCAAAACAATCCGTTCACAACTGTTGCAAGCCCTATCGCGCACGGTACGCGCACGCTCTTGTCTCATGACGCACTGTAGGGCCGTATTCACAAACTGAATCCGCACTTAGAGAGTCCATCGATTCCGAGGTAACTTCTTCTTGTCGCGGTTTCCTCATTCGCAAAGTATGACTGCGATCTAACGCGACTTCTGCAGGTTTTCTTTGTATGTACAATCGTAATATCCTGATGTTTCAGTCCTAATTAGTAGAAAAGTCATGGAGAATACAAAGCAAGAACTAAAGAAACCAAAACAATTCACATGCTGTTAGCATGAAATTGAGCAGCCGTCGGCTTAGCTGGGGCATTCTGCACATTCGCTGGCCGTGTTGCTAGTTCAGTCAACTAACAAGTTTCATTTTGATGAGACTTTTAAACTAATGTAAAGCTGCAAAATGGAACAAGTGCGCCGTACGGCCACTCAATGTTGATGTCCATTAGATGACGTGCACGCTTCGCTGAATGCTACTTGTGCCCACACCAAGCCGAAAGCGTCCAAAATTTTCTCAGCAATATCACGTATCATTAAATTATATTCAAAAACATATGAAACTGAAAACAGGAACCGCCGCGGTAGCTGATCACAGAAAAGACGCTTAGCAGTGCTGTTCTCTGGCGATCGCGAATACTGTGCGATTTGGATGCATAAAGTCAGGAGCCTAAATAGATACACACAGTGGCTAATCCACTCGATCCAAATGCACAGTTTATGTGCGTGATCATGTATGAGTGCTCCAAAGTACACTATATAAAATTTGAGATTGGTAGCACCCGGTATTTGCAGATATTCTGATGCAAACCAAAGAGGGTAACAGTGCTGACGGAGCAATCTACTAATGTGAAGTTGTTAGACAGAAAGTCAAAGCAGGCATAGCCACCACTGACACGACTCTCCATCACATGGAAAAAGCTGCCATCTACACTGCAGGAGCTACTTTCACCGCTCTCCCGTCTTGCTGGTGCTCTCCTTGACGACACGGAAGAATCCGTTGTTGTATGTGAGGAGGTTCATCTTCACTTTCTTCATCAGAAATGCTGTGACTGTTTCCAGAGACGGTCCTTGAGCCGATGGAGAGGAGAACATGCGGTAGATGCGATGCATACGTTCCGCTTTCACCTCCCCATTATCGTGATTAGCCTGAAACTTTGGTTTCACTGAATTCTTGAAGCAGAAATAAAGAACTGGCGTGAGATGCTGCTGGCAACACGAGCAGGCCAGAGCTGATCCGCGCCAGGATTTTCGTTCCTGTTTCACAGGCTAAATAATAAAATGAAAAAAACGTTCCCATAGCTGTGTTTTTACAAAATCAAATGAACGACACTCGTGAGCAAAAGCTATTCAGCTCGTACCCAGGTAACAGTGTTTTTGGTCGTGGAACCCCTTTTCAAAACGGTTTGTTGCGTGTTATAGAGTTTCACGCGGGGACCACAAAGGTGTAGGTCACAGCGCGAAGGCCGAAGAAAAAGGTGAACAATAGGCTCATGGTCTGAATCCCCCGAGTGACAGGATTTTACGTTCCTGTAACGTCTTTTTATATTCTATGGGTCAGAACCTCTTGCCCAAAAAAATCCCAAAGAACACTGAATCTCTAGCCCAAAAATGAAAACAGCTTTCTATAGTTGAATCCGCCAAGAGCTCGTAGAATTTTTTGCCCCCTCAGGCACTTCCAGAAGCGTGCAGCGGAAATGGGTTACAGTTTGGAGTACCTCCTCACAGTGTGCAAAGAATCGTTTCGAGGATGGGTTACATGTTTTAACCCTCCCCCTCCCCTAGCGAGCAAAATGTGTCACACCCTGACCGGCTGGAAATCGAGGTTGCAATGCACGTCCCATGCGGCTCACATGATCTTCGTAATCGTCACAATCTTCTGTCTTAGGAACCCCATTCTTGATCCACACATGTGTAAGCATGCGATTTTACATGTTCCCACTGGCACACTTGGTGGAACACAAACGGATATCTACTTTGCTGCTCCGTGCCGTCAAGCAACTAAAAAAACCCATCAGTGACCTCCGAGTGAATTGCCAACAAAAGCTGCACAAGCTGTACATGATAATATGCACTATGGGAAGCCTCGCATGAATCAAGGTCCTGTCAAGAATAGCAAGGCTCGAATGAATCAAAGTCGTGTCAAAAACAAAGCTTCACAATAAAGTTCTTCGTGTAACTCCAATACTGTTCCAGCGCATCTATTGCATCAGACGTCTCCTCTATTGCACCTTCGTCCTCATCAGATTCGTCATCCGCGGCTCCTCGTGATGTCGCCAGCAGATTGGGATTGGTTGCTAAAGACCACTCTTCTGCGGTTGCACCCGTTGGTAGATTCTGAAAAACTTCATGATGCTTCGAAAACTTGACCCTTCTTTCAAAAACATCACATGCAATTGCTACAAGCGAAGCACCTGTATCAAGAGACCTTGAGAACGCCACCATTCCAAACGCCGTCGAGCAACTCCCTTGGAGATTGAAAGTCGTTCTGACACTTCAGATACGGTCCAGCTTTCTATAACTACTTTTGGAAAGAATGCGTAATTGAGGAAACAACAAGGAAATTAAACCATCACTTATCAAAATAATCAAGTCATGCAGTTCACTACATTTCGCCGTTTCTTCAACGTCATGATCTGATATTATACCTTTCTCCAAATACAGATAGAGGACGGCTGCTATAGGATTCGGCACCACCTTATCCACTTCGACTTCTCCGAGTTTCAGAGTAACTTCCACACATCTGAAAGGATTAAATGGTTCAGGTAATAGGGAAATAACGTTCTGTGAGGTATCCTCGTTCAGTGCAAGCCACTACCAAAAATATGGTTGCCGCGAAATTCCACGTATCTATAGCAACTCACCCAACAGCCCGCAACCACTGGAGGCGACGTGATTCCTTTATGATCCATAAAAGATTTCTCATACTCCGCAAGAGCTTCTTCTAGTGCAAGTGGGAACTCCTGAAGCCCAAGTAAAGAAAATAACTTCGTAGTACGAACAAGCCCTATAGAAAACTTACAGGGACTGTTTCCGAGTGAATTTTCGGCCAGAAATGAGAGGAGATCACACATGCAGATACTGGAATACACTGAAAAGTAGGTTTTTACAGTGCTTCTGTGAACTCATATGATAAACAAAAGTAAAACATTCAACTCGCTTTTCTTCCTAATGCAGTTCTGTCGATTCGTTGACTATCGCGAATATCTTTGAGCATAACTTCGCACTGCTGAAGTTCACCTTCGTTGAATCGGAGTTTCAGTAAATCCAAATACCGCCTTTCAAAGATTGGCTGAAAGCAATTGTTCATCGAGTCCTACTATCAGTGGTTCCATCCCTGAGACACCTTCACGGTGCAAGTGAACATTCAATAAGCTTGATGTGGAATTGTTCTGAGCAGTACAAAATTCGACACTCTTCACTATTTCGTGCCCCAGTAATCGGGCTATGTCCCAAGCATCCGAAACTGGGCCAGTTCTATCCCGAACATAAGATTGACCACTACTACGATATCAAACTCTACTAGCACGTATAATAAGGAATATCTGACGTCTTTAGTATTACTGCTTGTGAGCCGTTCTGCCAACAATTGGCGATATTCCTTAACAAACATCTCCTTGCTGCCATAGACCGAGACAAGCATATTGAAGACATCAGCAGCCTGGCGGAATCGACCGCTCTCCCCTGAAACAATGTTGGAAGGAACGCCATTTACTCAAAGTGTCAGATTGCTGGAGACTTTTAACAACACACAACTCACCAGGGCTGACATCTATCGGATCAGGCATCCAGTGCCGCCACTGTGATAAGTTCATAGCTTCAGGTAGGAAATCATCATTAGCATCGTTTAGTTCATCTTCATCTACAATTGTGCCACATCTGTTAGCCTAGAATTTTGACGGATAAATAACAGAGAAATTCTGAGCCAGCAAAAGAAATATTAAAAATATTACAGTAAATATCACGGCGCTCGGAGAGGGTGTGCTTACGGACTTAGTTGTCGATGCAACACCAGCTGCGCATCTTTAGAGCATAAAAGCAGAGAACGCAAAGACCAGGCCGCGGGAAGCGCAACGACTCATTACTCCACAGATACGCAGCCGCCTCGCAATAAGATCCGTGGACATACCGTCTGCTGGCACCTTGGTATAGACTGTAGTTCATGTGAGAATCTCGTCCAAAAGCACTCACCAAATGTGCTGCAAGATCATCGCGTTTCTCCGAGGTTATATAATTGATAATTTGCCGAACAGTATCTGGTCGCCTTCTATAGAATAAAAGAAGTCATGGTCCGAACCCAAGAAATTTCAATACAATCTTTATGAATGCAAATTAAAGAAAAATGCGCTTACTTCAGGTACTCTTTGATGACTTTACATACGCGATGCATTATCACACAGGATGGGTCCAATTCTCGAAGGGATTCCACACAGAGTGAATAACCATTGAGGATGGCCGGCGTGTCGACAGCTGGAAAAGCCATTATTCCTCAGCGTTTTCATTTTGTTTGCTACCCAGATCATTAACTATCAAATATTCATTAGTGCGCCAGCAGGTACTCAAATTGGCATTTTTTTCACATTCCTCTCTATCATAGATAATATTATCCGCGGAATCCGAAGTATTGTTTGGTTCTCTGCGGATGCTAGGACCTGTCCGCGCGGTTGCCTTTTGCAAGCCGCCAAATTTGTTCTCCGCCAGTTGTTCCGATGGGTAAGTAACAATAACTGATGAAAAACGCTGATACGAACGACATGATGCAGTCCAGCTGCTCGCCGTGAATTGGCACTGCACCAAAGTGCAGTCGCACTTTGAAACACGACTCATCATCCGCAGCGAGCACGACTATATCTTTAAGGCTCATCGCGCAAGCTCCACTATAACCCTCACTCGATGAATTCTATAAACAGCATGAGTGCAGGTAAAGTAAACACATCGAGTACGGCTCGGACAGCCAAGTCAAATCATAACGTGATTTACAAATAGTGTTGGTCTCGGTGAAATGAAACCCACCAATGTGGAGGAGCTTTGATTCGACGTCATCTATTAGTGTATTGACCAATTTTTCTCGACCATACTCTTGTACGCTGATCATGCACTTTCGAAGAGTTGATAGAGTAGGATAAGATTTCGGGAAGTTCACCACGGCCATTTCATAGATCTGCAAACTTTGCGTTACTCTAAAGGCAATTAGATATTGTGTTTGTCACTTGATACCGATGTCAACAAGATCTCACCGAATCGGTCAGACGATCGACGATGGCCTTCATGAGGAAATTTCTACCCAAATCTTGTATTGTGTCAAGATCTCCTTTATCTGGCAGAGGAATTGTGCTCAACCAGGTCCACAAAACTTCATATATCTGAACAGAGATTGTTGCAAGTTAGTGATGTCTCCCGCCAATATGTGCCCACCCATACCTCTTCCATCTGCTCAATAGTCAAACCGCCAGTACGCTCCAGTACATGTTCAATGTAGGCCTTCCCTACCTTGACATACGTGGCGTGAATCACGGCTGTTGGTGACAAGGTCCACTGCCAATTGAAGCGGTTCCTTCTATCCTTCCAAGATGAACTTCAGTCAAACACAAAGACAATAAACTCATGAAGGTTCTAGAACAGATCTCAATACTTTGCAGTTCAGGAGGCATATTACAGCTGAACTTGAATAAAGTGGATTCAAGCTAGTTTCACTTCGAAAAACCATTATCGCGCGAGTGCTAAGTAAAAGGAGGACGAGGCCGGGTCTTCATCATAAACACGATTAAAAGATAACAGCGATACAAAGTCTTCGCCGTTAATCAATCCCTTTGTGGGATGCGGCACGCATTCTACTTCCATTCAGAATCGTAGTGGCTTATTGAATGCGATGTGGCCTATACAATGACTTGCGGTGGCCAGCCGATGTACAAGTCAGTGTTTTATCCTCCCAGACGAATCTGGTACCAATTCACCGTTCCCGGAGGCGCAGTAGAAGGCCTGTTAGCCTGGCGGGAGTCGACCCGGCGATCGAAACCCGGAACCGCCGAATGTAGAGCGCCTCCACTTGTCACTACACCATCTCGCGCTCCCTCCATAAAGATACCGAGGAACAATCCGTGAATCAGATCGGAAAGGCAATGGCTGTATCGTCAGACGAAAACGAAGAGTTGCAGATGGAAGTATCAAGCGGTGGGTTATATAATATTTGCTGGTTCTGATTTCAGTGTCGCATTGAAGAACGCGGCTTTAAAGTCACTATGAAAATGCCACCACTATGGACCGGGATCTAACATATTATTAACAGCAACAATAAACGAAAACCAGGAGAACAATGAACAAACAACTTAACATGTAGGCTATTCGTTCCGCATTGCGTTACGCAGTGAACGACGTTTTCGGCATGCTTTCCATGATCCCGGCCTTAGAAAGAATTGGTCTGAAAAAGTCGCCGTCGCTCAATGTCGATCACGCCCGACAACGTGTTTGTGGCTCAAACACAACATTCTACCGTAGAGAGGCCAAATCTGAGGAAGGGAACACTTCTTGCCAGCATAAGCTCGACTTAAATGGCCTTGTCAAAAGCAATAAAAAGAATTGCTCACTCGAAGTGGTACATTACCTATGAAAGATACCATACTAAGTAGGTCCTAACATACCATCTAATCTGAAGGTTGAAGTGACTGATCATGGCAGAGGCAATCAGTTCGCTGTCCCATTCGGACCAGTCATGACTTGGACAAGAGGAAATCATGAACATGCGCCCCAAATCTTTCACTCCCACGACAAAATTGTTGAACGAACAGCTTCTCTCTCACCTATAACCGGCATAGCAGTAGCTGAAAAACACAGAATACGGACGAAAGGTAAAGCAAGAGAATGTTCCAACCAGCAAAGTTGATAAAAAGAAGCTCTCTTCAAAAGAAAAGAGCAGAACATCCAGACAGCACAAAAAAGGTAAGAATTAGATAACGCATGTCGACAAGCCCTTCACTAGAGGTCCACATGCATACTAAAATGGTGGATTGAGTCTCTACAACGATGGAACACCAGTCTGTACTAACTTCAACTCGCATCTTTTCGCCGCTCCTGATATTCCTTCAGGAAGAGCACTGGCGAACAAGTACAACGAACCATAGAGAAATGATTAAATTTAGATAGACTGTATCAGAATGCAAATGTCAATCAAAAATGCAACTATTCGTCCATCCAGAATCGGTACACAATTATACACTTTTTGGTCTATTGAATCGCAAATGCTAGATTAGCGACAATCTGCGCAATTTATTCGTGAGCAAAACCCAGTACTTCAGTCCCCTGGAAAAAGCTGTTACCGGGAGCTATAAACACATCGCTGGCTCTAGCGCCAGATTTCCGATCCACTTGCTGACTTCTCTCAGCTCAGTATACTTCTACCACACCCCTTTTTCACACCATAGTTTCTGGGGTACAAGCCGCATTTATTGATATGACCTCATGACACCTGGTGACATGAAATTGAAACAAACCAGCTTAGAACCTCAAACCTCTGAAAATCAAACTGCACATAAATTGAATAAAGGAAATGTTAAAAACTTCATACTGGTTTTCGCGAAACATGCGCAGTGCCCGAGGTGTAAGTGCGGTTCACTCACACAATGGATTTCAAAGGGTAATCTTCTGATGCGCATTGGCCCTTCTAAACTGATGCATCGCTGCACCATAACAGAACGGCCCAGCAACCTAGCATACAATACACCTCCTTCCTAAGTTACTTTCATTAGCAAAGCCTACGATATGAGCGAAACCTTTGTCCAGGGTATTTGAGAGCTCATTAAGATGTCGAGAGCTTGAAAGGGTAGGGATAAAATCTCCAACCTCATTGATGCAGTTTTCGGTGCCACAGAACCCTGATTTCACTTCGTCGGCTAACTCTTTATTCGAATATTTGGATGGTAATCCACTCAACCACACCATCATATGTGGCTTCAGCGTATCGGCGATGAACCATCTGGAATTTCAGTCGTCTTATCACCAGCACACCACTTTTCCCTGATCAGAACACAATATGACATGTAGTGTTGTTCCTTTATACCGCTGCAGCGGCTCAGGTTCATTTTAATAAAAAACTTTCATTGAGTGAATTGTTCTCGACCTCCAATTTCTTTCTTAGTTCAATAACCCTCCGGAATCAATAAATTTAGTTTTCCTGCTGGAGCGATCTTTATTACCGAGCTTTAACATTTCCCGCAAATGGTCTCTAACTTCTCCCTTGCGAAGACCTCGGAGATATGTTGTGTTTTCATACACGTTTTCTATTGCGACTTCCTTGATACAAAGGAAAAAAAATAGGTGCTAACGTAGTTGGGAGGGGCCACGCGGCTCGCGGCGAGTGATGACTCATCGGCTCTTCACTCATCGGCATACTTGAAACGCGAATCTAGCAGCCAAATCAGAATAAAACAAACAAGATTCACCGGGAACTTGCTGAAGAATTCCACAGAAGCTAAAAATTTGATTTTTTGTAGTCAACAATAACAGTCAACGACAAACATGCAACAAAATTTTGTAGTTTAGGCAAGAACCTTGCAGCCTAAAACTGTTTCTTTGCACTTTTCAGTGTTAACTGTTTTAACTTTTGAATATAGCTAGGGCGAAGTTATATTCATGTCCTAAACACGAAATTACTTCTATTTTGCCGAGGAGGGAGCAGAAGAGCAGATGAGTCATCGCTCGCCGCGAGCCGCGTGGCCCCTCCCAACTACGTTAGCGCCAAAAAATCTCTCATGAACGCCCAACAAGTAGAAGATCTCCGCAGAAAAAAAAGAGAAACTAACCCCACCACAGCTATGCGATCAGAAACTATATACGGTAGAATCGCCGCCGCCCACCGCCGAAATCATTAACGTAACTAAAATGGTAGGCTATTCAGGGCCATACTGGCACCAGTTGACGGCGAGGCCAAAAAAAAGAATGTCACAGCCGATAGGATGAGATAGGGCCAAAGACTGATCCCTTTGCCTCAGGTTTTAGCAAGACTTTCCATGTGAGTTGAGAATTGTTGACTCAAGCTAATGCAGGAACAATACCTGGCGTACATCCGGGTCACGTCATTATACGGGAGCGTAGAAG